CCATTCTCTCTGATGTCCAGTTCAGAGCTGTGGTGGAGCACAGTGGGGGAGCACAGTGGGGGAGCACAGTGGGGGAGCACAGTGGTGGAGCCAGTGGGGGAGCACAGTGGGGGAGCACAGTGGGGGAGCCAGTGGTGGAGCACAATGGGGGAGCACAGTCGGGGAGCACAGTGGGGGAGCACAGTGGGGGAGCACAGTGGTGGAGCACAGTGGTGCAGTGTGTTTAGCTGTCCCCAGTGCCCCTTGTGCCCTGCTCTCCCCACAGCTTCAGCCTGTGCTGCTGCACTGCAGCAGAGGTAGAGCTGTACACAGCTGCGGTAACCAGGCGCTCTGATAAATCTCTACTCTTGCATGCATTCCCCAAGTGAATTTCCTTTACTTTGGAAAATTGTTAATTTTGTCAATACACATCCTTTTGTCAATATGTATTGAAAGATACATATTCCAAATCACACCCTCTATTTGGATTATTAAAATGCCTGTTTTTTGCCCAAATTATTTTTTTATTTTAAAATATTTATTTTTATGTATAAGTACTCTGCTTGTTTTTACGCCTGCATTACAGAAGAGAACAGCAGATCCCACTATACATGGTTGTGAGCCACCGTGTGGTTGCTGGAAATTGAACTCAAGGCCTCTGGAAGAGCAGCTGGTGCTCTTAACCACTGAGCCGTCCATGACGGGTTACCGTTTCTCTTTCCTTGAGACTGCCTTCCAGATACCGTCAGGCTTCTGCTCTCGTGTGAACACAAGCTGCTCCTTCACCTCCATCTGAGACTCCATAGGAGTTCCTTGCTTTGTGTGAGTTTCTGGAATTTTACTAGGGTGTAGTCCTAAAGAAGACCGTGCATGTCTGAAAATGTACTCTTTACACATGCTCACTTGACTCTCACGCTTTGATTAGTATGTTCTCTGTAATGCTCTTGTCTTAGCTAAGTGTCTACTGATGTGGAGAAACCCTGTTACCAAACAGCAAAATTGGGGAGGAAAGGGTTTCTTTGACTTACACTTCCACATTGATGTTCTTCACTGGAGGAAGTCAGGGCAGGAACCTGGAGGCAGGAACTAATGCTGAGACCATGGAAGGTGCTACCTACTGGCTTGCTTCCCCTGGCTTGCTCAGCCTGCTTTCTTATAGAACCCAGGACCACCAGCCCAGGGGTGGCACCACCCGCATTGATCACCAGTTGAGATAGTGCCTTGCAGCTGGGTCTCAGGGAGGCATTTCTTCAGCTGAGGCCCCTTTGTCTCCGATGACTCTAGCTTGCGTCAAGTGGACACACAAAACCAACCTGTACAGGCAGTATGTGACATAAGGACACTTTGGTTCTGATGGGTTCCTGGGGTCCTCCATTCTGTACGGATTTGATAGTTGCACAGCACCGAGTGCTGATGATAGGCACAGGTGTCTCATTCTGCAGCTGCAGCAATCTTGTCTTTTGTCCTTGGTTCTCTGCTTGCCAGGTCCCCCTCTGCTTGCTGTCTTGAGAAAGCTGGATGGGAACCGCTGAGTGTAAGGAACAAAGTGGCTTTGGTGTTGTGATTGGTTTTTGTCTGTCTTCCCCTAGCCCTGCATCTGCTGGCAGAGTTCGTCAAGGTATTACAGGCTCACCCACAGGCTCTGGAGGAGCTAAGGTCACAGAAGCCACGGTTGCTTTGATTGCTAAGACGCGGCATGTCATAGCTACATATATTCATGATGTCATCGCAGTTGGTGGCATTTGCTTTCTGGATATTTCCTTATCCAGTAATCCACAGTGTTTTCCCCTCCCACCAGGTGTTGTATGTGTGCATATATATGTTTGATTTTTGCCATCCCAGAGGCTTTTCACAATGAAAATCCTGTGTGTTCAGCAAAGCACAGTAAACATCAGGTGCTACACAAGTTTCCCAAGTGTGGAATTTTCATGTAATTGAGTGGGCAGTGTGTTTATATTAAGCTATTTTGCAAGGCATGCAGAATCTAAAAGGAGAGTAGGCAAGTTTACCATTACTGTGTAAGATACATTATATTAGGGACGGGAGCGATTTCTCAATGGTTAAAAGTACTTGCTGCCCGTGCAGGGTACCTGGGTTCAGTTCCCAGCATCCTCCTGGATGCTCACAGCCACCTGTAACTTTAATTCCAGAACAAAAAATGCCTTCGTCTGGCCTCTACGGACTCCTCCACACATAGGGTACACACAAACTCTTGGGAGCACACACTCATACACATAAAGATAAATACAATTTTAAGTGTGTTCTATTGGTATATAATCACCTTAAAATATCTGTCAAGGTGTATTTCCTTTGTCAAATTCTTGGATTTTGGGTTTTTTTAAAAAAAGATTTATTTTTGTTATTTTAATTATTTGCCTGTGTTGGAGTGTACATGCGTGTGGACGCCCAACGTGGCCAGAGGCTTCAGATCTCCAGTAGCTGGAATTATATATGATTGTTGAGCCATGAGATGCACGTGCTGAGAGCCAAACTCAGATCCGCTGAACAAGCTGTGCATGTACTTCACCATCTCGCCATCCCCAGTACTTGCTTTTGATGACATATGGATGTTGCCAAGTTTTGCAGACACAGTGTTCCAATGCCTTGCTTCCCTGGGGCATGGGCTGTCTTAGTCCCCTCCATTTCAGAAAGGGGCATGTCTTTCTCGTCCCCATTTTGCAGAAGTCATAGAGACAAAGAAAGTAGTCACCAGAACTCCCTCAGCATCACCCTCAGGTGCTTTAACCCCTCAGCCTGAGCTTTTAATCTCCATGTTCTTAAGTAAGAAAGAGGACCGGAGACTGCTCTGTGCCTGACCTGGGCATTCCTTACTGGCATCTAGCTTAAATTAATGCCGCTATCCTTAAATACTGATTGTGTGATAGCAGGACTTATTTTTATTATGGTTACAGCGGGATGCAGTATTTAGTTTTGCTGACAGTAACTGTGTGTACAAGCTTTTAAAAGACAAAATAAGCGGTGTAGGAGCTGATGCTGACCCATGCAAAAAGTTAGAGATGCTAATCCGTGGTTCCCTAGGCAACTGCGTGCGGTCTCATGAAAGGAAGTATTGTGGCCCAAACGGACCACCGTACCCAGATCTCTAGAGTCTTTTCCGTGTTTCAGAGCCTGGGGGAGGGGGACAGGGTCCTACTCTAGGGAAATAGTCTGCAAATTGCCTCTTCCTGGTGTGCCTCTATATTCAGGGCATCATTTATGTGACTGTGTTTCTGGTGTCACATAGGTGTTTCAGCAGGGGATGCGTGACATTTCAGTGGGACTTAAATTATTTATATATCTTAAAACAAAATGTCTTTAACATGTACAATCACTTTTTTTTTGCCTTACATCTGGCTTATAAATGATCCTGCCATCTCTCCACCCCCAACTCCCAACGGAGAAGCATCATTTAGGGCGTGCGTGTTTACATTCAAAGTGCTGTTCTTAGGCAGGTTCAAGATGCTGTTAACCTTTGAGATGTATTATGTGCTGGTGCTTAAGAGAGATAGATGGCTAAGAAGTGCTTATTAGAGCCTCTCAAAGCACTGGAGCACCGATCTTCAAGTACCCAGCTCCTCAGCATAGGGCATGCAGGATGCGTGGGCGCGTCTGCCCCTCCCAGGTCGTGTGCACAGCTAGAGCCTTGCCTTCTTAGGAGAGGACAGCCAGGGGTGGAATGATCTGCCTTTCCCTAGGCTGCCTTAAGCAATGCTCTGTGTGATTTGTCCTGTTACCATTTGGTTGACTGATCTCTCTCTCTCTCTCTCTCTCTCTCTCTCTCTCTCTCTCTCTCTCACACACACACACACACACCCCATAACTTAAATGTGAGGAAAAATAAGAAATTTGCCAGGCATTGTCATGTGTCCATCCCACCACAAGGAAGGAGGGGGCAAGGAAATTGAGAATTTAATGTCATCCTTAGATACAAAACAAATTTGAGGTCAGCCTGAACTATGAGATCCTGTCTCAAATAAAATAAAACATTCTTTACTGGTGGACTACCTTTCCCAGAATAAATGATTTAGTAAATTTCTTATGAAACAAGCAATAAAAAATAAAGAAATAGAAATAAAGGAGAAATAAAATAAAGTTTTATATATACCTAGATTATTTTATAATCATAGATGTAGATTAATTAAGATATTCTTAATAACTAGACAACTCTAGAGATTGCTGAGGTGTAATTTTGCTTCGATTAGACACATTTTGCAGTGTCTATCCATGTTGTCAGATAGTTTGTTCAAGTTGAAATACACTTGACCCTCTGAACCACTGTATTTGGAAAATGAGTCTTTTGGAAATATGTGGATTTAGTTAAGAACATTGATAACAATCAGGCCTGTTTATCTTTATTCAAGTGGTCTAGAAGAGCCAAGTAAGGATTGATTAGTGAACTCCTTAATGAAAAGACATTAGGCAAGATGGTAAACTAAGGTGGGCTCTTGGGTAGGTTATATTTCATTTATTTATGTAAGCAACATTTATTGCACCTTTGTCTTTTGAATCCCAACATCTTCAGTAGTATCTGTGACACAATAGTGCATTTTCCAAGGTAGTGTGCAAGTATAAAGACCGTACACAAGAGTGTGTTTGCTTTCTCTTGTCTTGGGTCTTGTTGTGTTCCCTGAAAAAGATAAGAGTCTTTGTAGTCGTTCACACTTTGATCCTGTGAAAGGCATGAGGTCCTCAGTTGCTTAGGGTTGCTCTTTGGGAAACCTCTCCGGAGCAAGGACTTTAGGCTTGGAATTTCACCTACTATACATCCTCATTTTGACAAGCTGAGTGGGTTGGTAAAGGGGGGAAGCCTTTGGTAAGTGGTTATGGTTTATTAGCACCCCAACTCTTCTGGCCTTTGAGGTATTTTAGGCTGTAATGTCCAATATAATGATGTTCACTTATGAATATATCACATCACTGCAGCAATATTATTACTACCGAAGCCCTACATTCGAGAAATGGTGTACAAATAAAAAGATAAACGTCATAACCCTGCACGCTTTTCTTGTCACACACTCTAGGATGAAGAAGGCACAGAAGAGGACAGCAGCCGAGTGGAGCCAGTTGGACACGCGGATACTGGCTTGGAGAATATGCCCAACTTTTCTCTCGAGTAAGTTCCTGTGATTTCGCCTCAGTCTGTACTGTGTATGTGGAGCATCATGACCGCAGTTAAGTGTTGCAGAAGCATATGGCGTGCAGAATGTTTGTGCTTCGGTCAAAGCCATGCCTGCCTTGCTTCATTTTCCCAAGAACATCTTTCTTGGTATGGAGGTTCATGTGTACCTGGGTTTCATGCCTTGGCGAAAACTACTATATTCGATTAACAGAGTGTTTGATGGAAAATGTCCGTCATGTTAACAGCTCTGTAAACTGTGACTGTTTTCAGATTGCTTCATCTGTCTGTGTGTTCCTCATTTGTTCATGTTTGAGAAGTTAAAAGATAATCATATTCATTATATTTTAAATACTAGTTGGATAAAGTGTTCATTGGTCTGACCCCCCCCACACACACATGTGTGCACATTTAGTCGGAGAAACAGTGGTCTATAAAGATACATGTTGGGATGATGAACGCCATGGCGTAGGTGTGCAGAGCATGGCTTTAGGCTTTTCCTACCTCACAGGTTGAGAGCTGTGTTGTGCATTACCATGTTTGCAGTGCCGGCTGCTCTCAGTCCCCCCTCTCCCCCGGGAGATGGGAGCGGGGAGTGCAGTCTACTGTTCTATTCTTTTGAAGACGACACTGTTTATAAACAATCAGAGTTCCCTTGGCTTCTAAGGGAGGCTACTACAAGTGTGCACAGTGGGGTCAAGCAGGCTCAGCTAGGATGGGTTTACAGCTAAGTGGGCAGCATTTGTGACACTTCAGTTTGAGAGATGATTGGCAACACCATCATTTTTTAGATGTAATGTAGCATAAAAATAAAACTATTCAAATTATGCATTTCTTCACTGAAGAAATGCCAGTGTTCAAATACTATCAGCAGTTTTAAAACAGGATTTTTAAAATAATGGAATGAAAAATGACTTATACATGATGTCACTTAAGTAAACATTTTAGTTGTGTGGACAAATATGTTTGTTTAGAGAAAGGTCTCACTGGATAGCCTAATTTGGTCTCAAATTTATAACAGTCCTTGTGCCTCAGCTTCCTGGATTCTGTGATTATAGGCATAAATCACCACACCTGACTTTTACTTTAATTAGTCTGTACAGTTAAATAAAACCTATGCATGTGATTCTGTTTTGCTTTGTTGACTGTCCCTATCAGTAACTGCATTTAGTCTCTGTATAAGTGGGACAGTCATAGTACACATGTTATCACCAACTACTTATATAAGAGATGCATTAGAAAACTTGGCATTTCGTATTATATAAAAACTACTCTATGATTTGTCAAATCTACTGGTAGTCACTTGTGATTTTTCACATTGCTTAAAATAGTCATTTAATTGAAATCCTATTTCCAAATATTGATTAGTATACATACAGCTTTCCAAAATTGTGTATATGTGTTGGAAAATCTGCCAAGAAAGCAACATCTCTTAAGTTGTTTAAAAATTTACCTATTCTCTACTATAATTTTCATTAATCTCAAGGCAACACTAATGATTAAGATTCATAGAAGTGACCTTAATAATATCAGTTCCTGACCATCACACCAAGTTTAGTTGTTCAGAGGCACCTCTGTGTTAGTTCCTGGAATATATTTATAATTTTAAGGATCAGCATCAAACAGGAAGAGTATTTGGTTTTAGTGGGTACATTTGAGGGATACACTCCATAGACCCCTCGAAGTTCTCTGCAGCTTAGGAATAGGGATGGATCATCAGAGTGAGCCATAAAGGCGTTAGCGATCTCCTCTGGATGGTCAGCCTCTAGGAGGAAAAGCTTTGACCTGATTGGGTTATGGGGAGAATGGATGAGTTGGCATGCATTGGAACACTTTGTAACTTCTCATGAGCTGTGTGTCCACAATGCCTGTATTTAGCTAACCTTAGATTTCTCAAGTAAGACATTTGGGTGCTGAGTGATCATGAAGTCATATTGCTCAGAGGAGAATGGTCCACGAGGACCCCTTCTGTGCCCTTTGCAACACATCTGTCTCTGGTGACTGCTCCCTCCATGCCATCAGACTAGCATCCGGGTAGGTGTCCTTCAGTGCTGCCTCCTTCACCACGCCTGCGCTTCTGAGTGTGTACTTGGATGCCTATCGCCTGGTGGGGTTTTTGTTTGGTTCTGTTCTGTTGTGTGTGTCTGTGTTTTGGCGGCTTTTGTTTTGTTTCTGTTTTGGTTTTGTTGATCGTCCATGTTCATGCTCCCTCATTCATCCATTGTCTCACAGTGATATGGTAAAGCTCGTACAAGTCCCCAACGATGGAGGGCCTCTGGGGATCCATGTAGTGCCGTTCAGTGCGCGAGGCGGCAGGTAATGTATCTTGCAGGTTTTTCATTGATCATAATGTCTGCTGTTCTCTGTGTTGACTTTGCGTATGCGTAACGGAAAGTTTACATGGGGTCAGCTGCTGCTTCCTTTTATACATACCTACAGAGTACACATAGCCTGACCGTGGAAGGGTCTGTGCACAGGAAGGACACGTATGTTCAGATTACCTTAACAAACATACCATTAGTGCTTACTACGACTTCCTGGACTCTGTCACAAGCTAACAACTCTGCCCGGATTTACAAACCCCGGGGAAGCTGCAGAAATTATCTGGGGAAAAGAAATTGTGCAATTAAAAAATTACCTGGATATCTTAGGTAGGAATATGTTTTAAGTTTACATTTGTTAGCTAACTTCTGCAATTAGGTAAGATACTAGTGGTTTTTTGAAAAATTTCTTAGAAAGTTGGGCAAGCTGACTTGAATCTCCAAATGCTCACGGCACCAAATGTTTTGCTGTTATTTTCAACCTCATTACTGCAGAGAATATGATTCCTTAAAGTTTACAAATGTCAAATGAGTTTTCTTGGTTCTCCCCCGCAACCATGCAATAAAATTGTTTTGGATGTTTTATTATATTCCAATAGAGTTGGATAATTTTGTTATTAAGGCTTGCTTGTTGGGCTGATGCCTTGGCCAGGTGGGGTGTTCCTCCTCCATCCCTGAGTTTAGCTCTGTGCATATGTGACTTCCCTTCCTTTTGTTCACTTTGTACTTATCCGGCGAAGCATGTTTATGCCTTAGTCCTTTTAGTGTTTTTACTTTATTCTTTTAGGAAAGACTCAGGCGTTTGGGAGGACCTAAGTATTAGTATTAGTATTTGTAGCCTTATACTATTGTCAGAGAACTAAGGGACTGGGAGCTTACCTCAGTGACCAAAACCTAGGCCAGCAATAGAGAACCTGGAACCCAAACAAGAAAACCACACTTGTCAATGTAGACAGATGTCTAAGAACACAGACCCACGGCTGAGAACCAGCGTCACTTAGGAAAGCCTAGAACAGACATTGTGAGTCAAGGCTAGAGCCTGAGACTCTGCATGTGGAACAGTGAGATCCCAGATCAGTGACAGGGCACCAGCCACATGTGCAAAAACTACTGTCCAGCATGTTCTGGAAGGCGGAGCATGAATTTGCACATAGCCGAACATGAGCTGTTCTAGTCTTAAGTCTTTGAGCGATTGCACAGCTTTCCTATTAAGTACGGTGGCCGCAAGCCCAGATTTATTATGTTCCATTGGCTAAAATATAGTTTGTAGATTTTCTTGAAGCTGGAAATTGAATTTATGAAAATTCTGTTGAAGCACCATGAGTCCAGGATTTTGATGTGTAAAATTTCACATTCGGTTTTGGGGTGGTGTTCTATTCCTTCCATTTTTTCTTGGTTTTCTCTTTTATTTTTACTTTTAACTCTGGAAAAACATTATCTTCAAGCAACTTTCAGTACATATTTTTCAAAGGTATCCTGGCTTTATTTTCTTTTAAAGATGTTTAGAATTTTTTCAAAAGAAACTTTTAAGTTAAAATGCATGGGTCATAGCTTCCCGTGCTGATGTTTCCGAAACTTCCTGTGAGCTGGAATTTATGACAAATAAGATTATTGTGTATGTGCCAACTTTGAACCAGTGTTTTTATTGCAAACATGTTGCTTTCTCTCTTGTATCACACATTTCCTACCTTACTGTGAAAAGACATTAGGATAAAACACACAGATGACAAGCCTAAAGCAAAAGGAGAAAGCAGAAATAAACCTGCCAGTAGGGTGAATTCAGGAAAAATATTGCAAAGCCTCCCACAGTTGGTGCTTATCATGGTGCTGAGTTTGGATGCACAAAACCCATCCAAGTAAACAAACAAATTTTCCTGTAGAACCAGCAGCTCTGGAGCTGGGTCGTTTTTAATTCATTGTAATTTGACTCTTCATGAGGAAAATCGTCCATGACTTTCCTGTATAAAGAACAAAGTCTTTGATGTACGAAAAGCAGACTCTTCATAAACCCTCTCCTGTCATTACCAGTCTCCCTTGGCAACAGAACAGAAGAACTTGGTTGTCACTCAACGTGCGTGCTGGGTGTCATAGGGTTTCTGTTGCTGCCATGAAACTCCACGACCAAACAAGAAGTTGTAGAGAAAAAGACTTATTCAGTTTGCTCTTCCACGTTGCTGTTCATCAGCAAAGAAAATCAGGACAGGAACTCAAGCAGGGCAGGAACCTCAAGGCAGGAGCTGATGCAGAGGCCAAGGAAGGGTGCTGCTTACTGGCTTGCTGCCCACGGCTTGCTCAGCCAGCTTTTTTTTTTTTATGGGATAGGACCATCCACAATGGTGTGGGCCCTCCTGTATCGATCGCTAATTGAGAAAATGACTGAATTATCTTAACTGAGGCTTGTGTCAAGTTGGCATAAAACTAGTCAGGACCCTGGGTTTACAATATTCTGCATGAATCTGATGCTTCTAGCTCTCTGGAGTTGGGTGGGCATTGACCGCGATGGACATTTTTGCTTAGACTCTGTCCCATCTCCAGGAGACTAGAGCCTCCAGAAACACTTGGGCATGGTCCTTTCTGTTCTGTCAGAAATCCTGAGAGGCCCCACCTTGTGATGAGGATGGTGGGTGCCAGGAAGCAAAGGCCGACAGAACACTGTATTTCACCCTCATAAACCCTGAGAGAAACTTTTCATTGGTAAGGAAAGCGGACATCAGAAAACAAAGTGAACAGTACACCGTTTTTCCCCCTCTGGGACTTGCAGTATAGTTGGAGCAATAGCTAGGAAATCATTCATTATAATTTCGCATAAATTATAATTATATGATAGCACTTGCTGTAGCTACCTGGCAGATGATCTGTGAGCTGGTTGAAGAGCAGTATCTGAGTTTTGAAACTGAGAACGGCTGGTGGTGGAGGATGATTTTAAATGTAATGGCAAGTCATAAAGAGAGCTGGAATCCCAAGCAGCTTGAGCAAAGTGATTCAGCAGAAAGGAATATATGCGGCAGAGTCATCGTGAAGCCACATGTTCTTTAGTGGGAACACAGCAGCACGGATGTGCTCACTGAAATTTCCAAGAGTAGTTAGCATGAAAGTTTTCTCAGTCTTGGGCCATCTCAAATTCAGAGTCACCTAATTGAATAATCTCCCCCAGAATATTTATTTTTTATAGAAATGATTAAGTACAGGTAATCTTTGCTTTCTTGTTCAGAACTTCACAATCTAATTCAGAATGAGAATTATGCATAGAGAAGGGACGTTTGTGGACTGCTTCAGATGTCACATGTAGTGAGGGAAGACAGGAATGTAAACTTGGGGAGTAGGGTGGGAGAGAGCTGTGGCAGCTTCATTTCTGACCTTGCCAGAACTACTCTTTGGAAGGCTATTTTCTCTAGTAAGTTGAACTTTGTGCCTTCATTGGCAGCATTAAGGATGGCTCATCTCCCAGTTGCCTTGGGTGACTGACTCTATCCTAGACACAGACAGCAGGAAAGTCCACAGGATTGTCTTCTCTATGATGCTGTGCGGTGTATGTCTCTTTGTGGATGTGTCTCAAAGACGGCGAGCTAATTCCACTCAGAACTTTGAAACACTTTATCTTTCCATCTGTTACTTCATTTTCCTCTCACATGACAAGCAACTTTATGTCTCAACTGCAAATACTTTCAAGACACTCATAACACATAATTATGACATGGTTTGGCGGAATTAGGATAATTTACACTTCTAAAAACTATCCATAGCTATTAGTTTGAAATAAAATTGCAGGCTAACTGTACTGGCCGAAGGAGGAGGATCTTAAGTTCAAGGCCAGTCAAAATTAAAAATAAAATAAAATAGTAATGACATATCCTGACCGTGGTATTATTTGACAAATTTTCTGAGGCTTTCCAATGATACAGAAATATGATTATAGTATAACCTTGGGTCAGTACAAAACAAGATGTAAAATCGTTTACCAAACTGGGGGCCAGAGGTATAAAATTGTTAGAATGTCTGTTCACTTTGATGGACTTGAGAAGCATGTGTTTTAAAAGATATCCTCCACATGCTGCAGGGCTTCAAAAGACTTGAGTCTATTCAATGTTGGCTGCTGTGCAAGCCGCTGAAAAGCACTATATGCCTAACCCATTCTTTGAAGGAAATAGCGCTCTGTCCTAGGGATGTTATTCTGGAAAGGTAGCGATTCCTGGAGCCCATTCCAAAGAAGGATGCTCACACAAGTGTGCCCAGTTGGTTGGGAGATGGCCAGTCGTTGGCATCACAGTGCTGCCGAAGATGATACTGCAAAGGTTCTGCCTGACTCCAGAGTCTATGTCTGCAGTACAGGTTCTAAATCTTTGCACCCAAGTGTGCCTAACACATACCATAGCATAGCACAGCCTGCTTCCAAGGCTCTTTCTTCTTTTATTACTAAGTATTTCCTTTTATACTCCCTTTTCTTATGCAACTTGTAACTAGATGTTTGTCAGTTTCAATTTAAGGAGATTTGTTGGGTATTATTCTATTTATTTAAGATCTAAAGTCTTGAAGTGATTTCTAAAGACAGAATCTATCAGTCCCACTTCTAGAGGTGTGGCCATCACAGATTTGCACACACCATGGAAGCAACTGTTTACAGTGGTGTGAAAACATTCGTCAATAAATTATAGCTAGGAGCCACAAGCTCGGCTCAGCAAGGAAAGCTGCCTGCTGCTGCCTGAAGCCCGAGTTCCATTGCTGGGCCTCCATGGTGGAAGGAGACCCTGGCTCCACAGTGTTCTCCTCTGACCCCCACAACCATGCCATAGCAGGTACATATATGTGTACACATGCATAAATAAGATGCCTCAGAAATCAAGCGCAGCGTTCTGTTCCCAGCACCCACGACAGCTGTCCTGTAACTCCAGCTCCAGGGAATCTGAGCCCTCTTGAGGCACAGCATGGTACATGGCCTGCATGGGGCCAGCCATTGTCAGGAGCTCTTCCAGGTACCTGGGTTGAACCTGGCTCCATCCTTTTTGTTGTTTTAGAAAAAATGTGTTTTTGCCAATGCAGTAGAATAATGCCTAATTTCTGCTTTGATTTAAAGAAACCCCCCATGTTTATCTGCCATTTTGTCCAGTTCCTATACTTTGTGGTCGCGCCGGGCATCCTGCCTAGGGCCTCACACATGCTGGCAAGCCCTCTCCCAGATTCTTTACAAGAATTCTGTGTTAATTAGAACATTTTTATTATAAACATTCGTTGCATAGGGTATTGTGTTACATAAAATCTTTTTTACTTGTCTGTTGAACATGATCTCCTCTTTACCAGGATTGTTATTTTAACTGAAATCCCTATGGAGTGTGAACTGCCCTCTTCTGTGGCCACGACCGTGGTTCTAAGTCATGTACAGTTGCTAATTCCCACTTGTAACCCCTAGGGAGCCGACAAGGTCTTTTTGGCCAGGAAACCCATTCATCCCCTTTGTTGTCGTGTTTGTGCCGTGTCAGCATTTACCAAGATCAACTGTGATTGTCCTCATAGAGCTGCGTGGCGGTTGTGGGAGTGGAGATGAGCAAAGCAAAACTCACACTATCTCCGCCAATTTAAATGTCAGTTAAACATTTGTTACTTATTTTCAGTTTTATCATTGGTTATAATTTATACTTAGAATTAAAATGTTAGCATGTGCAACTGAGTTTGTTTGAATTAAGTGTATAATTAGGCTAATGAACCTTGTAAAAATGCAGTGGTGAGTCCTTAATATAATCTGAGCAGTTCAATTTCTAATTATGCAACCAAAAATCACACACAGAGATGCAGCATCCAGCAGCTTGCTTTCTGAGCTTCTCCTTCCTCCTGCTCCCTAGCGAGACTGCTCAGCACCTCTGAGGGAAGGCTTTAAAGAAAGAGGGATATGTAAATGTCTGTTTTTGTTTTGTTTTAATTATTCAGAATTGAGACTTGTACCTAGTGAGCATAGGACTTTCATCCCTCCCTCCTCTCCCCCTTCCTCCCTCCCTCCTCTCCCCCTTCCTCCCTCCCTCCCTTCCTTTCCTCCTTTCCTTCTACCTTTTCCCTTCCCTCCTCCTTTTCTTCCTCCCTCCTTCCCTTCCTCTCTTCCTTTCTCTACCATAAGAGGGGGAAATCATTATAGTAAACAGTGAAAGAGTAGGTTTAAGAAGTATTTCAGTCTAATAAGATAAGAAAATCCCATTTCTTGGGCAAGTCTGCGACTGATTTAAGGTCTACCTGAGGTTCACATGGGAGGAGGAGGTGGAGGTGGAAGAGGAGGAAGAGGTGGAGGAGGAGGAGGAAGAAGTGGAGGAGGAAGAAGAGGTGGAGGAGGAGGAAGAGGTGGAGGAGGAGGAAGAGGTGAAGGCTGAGGCAGAGATGGAGGTGGAGTAGGCCTTTCCACACCACTCCACCCTGCAGTCATTTCTTCACCCATCTCCCTAGCCTTAATCATAAAGCATTGGATCTCGTCTCAACCTGGTGGCTCAGTGCAGCCAGCATGGGGCATGGGTGGTTGGAATTCTGGAACAGAGCCCCCAAGAACTAGCCCTCCTTTCTTCCCCTAGATCCTTCTGACGGGTTATGTTTGCCCCTAAGGAACTCTGGTAGCAGCTCCCCAGAAGCCAAGCACATCCTGTACCATGATAGCCCATAGGCCCGGTACCTTCTTAGCGCTCCTAATTCTTCCATAGAGCAAGACAGGTCTGTTTATTTTAAATTGCGTCAGAATAAGCTCTATCTGGTGAATTCAGTTTATGAGATAACAAACCTAGGGGATTGTGGTGACTCCTTTACATCCAGTAATTGGGAGGCAGAGGCAGGTGGGTCTCTATGAGTTCAAGGACAGCAGCCTGGGCTACATCATGAAACCATTGAGAGAGAACACTACAGTGTGCTCTTTTCAGTGCAGCCTTGAGACAGCTTGGGGTCAGAAGGAGCAGACATGCAAATGGGTCTTGTCTGTCACCCAACTGCTTCCAGGACAAGGAGAGTGCCTGACACTTCAGCCTCTGGTCCATTGCCCACCCATCCTCCTGCCCACCCATCCTCCTGCCTACCCAAGATAGTGACTCCAGCGTTGTGGATCAGACAGTTCTATCGCCCTAGTCCAGGCAATTCCCAGTTTCCCGGTCCCGTGTGTCACGTGTTCTCCGTAGCCACCTGCACATTATTACCTGGGAGAGGCTGCTGCAGCTTAGGTTACTATACTTCCTTCCTCCTGTGTTTCACTACGGCCAGTCATTTGTTTATGATTTTAATTTATGTCGTCCAGGACAGGGTTTCTCTATTTAACAGCCATAGAAGGACAATTTAGAAAGACAGTCTTCAGTAAGATTTCATGATTTAGCTCAGTGGTGGAGTGCTTGCCCAGTACTGAAAAAAAAATCAAACAACCTCATAGAAAGACCAGAAACGATGCTGGTAACTCTGAATCATTTTTGCTTCAGATCTTATCTTGGGATTGCTATCGAGAAAAGTCCTTGAACTCTCTTTTACAAGTTGGATGCTGAGCTGGATGGGGTCTGGGATGGCCCAACAAGCTCTGCCTGTGGCCCTCAGCTGCTTTTCTATTTCAAAGTTGTGAAGTCTTCCCCATCCCTCCTAAAGTCAGCACGGTCAAGTTCTGCATAGCCACAGCCCACTCTCTGGTAACAGCTTTTGAGTTACTTTCTCATGACTGTCATAGAAGACCACAAGAAGTGACTCATGGTAAAAAAGGAGTCCATTGTGTCTGTGGTTCCACCAGTCTAGGAGTTCATCATGGTAGGAGGCTTGGCCACAGGCCACCTGAACAAGAAACGCTGCAAGGACAAACAAAGCCACACACACAAAGGAGTCAGCTGGAAACATGGCAAGGCTATAGATCTCAAAGCCTACCCCCAGCCATGTTCTTCCTCCAGCAAGGCTGTAACTTCCAAAGGCTCCAGAACATCCCCGAAGACACCAACCACCTGGGACCAAGTGTTCAGCTACCTGAGCTTGTAGGGTCGTTTTCATTCAAACACCACAAAGGATAGCCATCCTTTTGTCTTTTTACATTGCTGCCTTCCCCACAAATTTCCTTCCCTGCTCTGTCTTAAACCGAGTATCCTATGTGAGTGAGGGAAACACTAAGTTCTCTGAGCTGCCCTCCTGCTTCTGGTTTTCTTCAACCGGAGCGTGGCAGCGGATCGCCCACTTAAGGAAGAGACTTGCCAGGTTTTGGAATTCTAGGTGTCAGACCTGTTGCTGAATTCACAACTCACAAGCAAGGGAGTCCCTTCTCTGACTCTCTCTGAAGCCCTGGCTCTTTCCCTTCGAACCCAAAGCACAGGGAGGATAGGCGTCCCTCATGACCTGTATGCGCTGTGAAGGAACCAGGGGCTGCTTCCAGCAGCATGGCCCCCTGGCTGAAGCACAAACCTCCCAACACCATCTATAAGACCATCCCTGTTCAGTACTGTGACACTCACTGATGCCCTCAGCAGGCTCCGATGTCAGCTTTGGAGGCAGACTTAGTATACACTTGGTTTTAGAAGGGTGATAATGGCAAGTCAGAATGTGATTTCTGTTATTTATTGAAAGGATGGGTTTCTACACATCATTTAGACCCTTGGGGGTTTTTGCCTCAGTGTTCCTTGAAAATGTATCAGTAACGCCCTAGTGTACCTGCTTTTAAGGGAGTGTGTCGTAGAGCTAACGCATATGGGGGAAATGGTGCCCCTGTAATTGTTCACTCTTGATGTTCCAGAACACTGGGGTTGTTAGTAAAACGCTTAGAGAGAGGTGGTAAAGCCGAGCAAGAGAATCTCTTCCATGAGAACGACTGCATTGTGAGGATTAACGATGAAGACCTTCGGAACAGACGATTTGAGCAGTAAGTGGGTCTTGTCCCCCAGAGACAGTGGGGTCCTGTCCCCTGGAGACAGTGGGGTCCTGTCCCCTGGAGACAGTGGGGTCCTCTCCCCTGGAGACGGTGGGGTCCTC